AACTTACCATGGAACTTTGAATGGAGACCTGGGTAGATCGATAGAGTATAAGGTTATTTACAAATATAGATAGCAAAACTGCAACCTGCATTTCACAAGCAACTTATGAGCAGGTAAAGTTTGTAATGGTGCAGTAGGGTGGAGGCTTGGTGGTGAGCTGTGAAGCGAGGAATCGAATCGAGTCGTGGTGGTTCAGTGGTAAGGTTCGACGTTCGACGACTCGATTCGACGTATGCGATTCCTCGCTTATGCTTCACAGCTCACCACCAAGCCTCCACCCTACTGCACCATTACAAACTTTACCTGCTCATAAGTTGCTTGTGAAATGCAGGTTGCAGTTTTGCTATCTATATTTGTAAATAACCTTATAGACTCTATCGATCTACCCAGGTCTCCATTCAAAGTTCCATGGTAAGTTGGCGGACTTCCCTGGTAAGTGACGGCCAGTGAGGGCACACTCACAGTTGAGGATGTATGCAAACTCACGAATAGTCAAGAAGTTCACAAACTCATGGGTGGAGTGAACTAATTTCGATAACTGATCATCGCTTGGCCGGCTTTACCTCGGAAAATACGAGGTAAGCTATACGATCCGAAACGCAGTAGTACTATCCGACGAAGCTTCGTTGTCATATGGTATCCCTTGGTCTGGGAGGGTAAGACCCGGGAACGGTACAGTTTCATAAAGGCTAAAAACAAATTTAAATTTTACACCTCATACAGAAATGCTTCTGTACTTCAGTTTATCTAACTAGCGCATGCACTTTAAAGTGGGAAAATAAAGTTTCAGCTATTTCTGCTATCGTAATGATGAAGATGAACTTATATACACTACTAGCCAATCCAATTTGCAAATCGCCTAGAAGAAACCTATGAACTTCTCAGAGAATATCCAACCAAAGCGGTCAGGAAATAGCAAAATGAGAATAATATATTACTCACTCGTTGATGACTCGTCCTGATTCCCTCAGCTTATGAAGCTGTTCTAAACGGTAGAAAGTGTTGTACACATCTCTGGTTCGGCGTGGTTCTTCCTCAATTTTTGAGGCAAGAAGCAGGCACGCCATCACAGTGTGCTTTAAATAGAAAAAATAGTTTCAATACAGGAAACAGTAGAAAAATCCTGAAATGCTTACCTCATATCTAAATTTAAGGAAGCTTTTAAGATAATAGAATCGCTGGAATAATATTTGTCCAGTAGCAGCGGCAACCTGAGGCAATTTCAACAGCACTGCACCTTCCTGTATTAGCGAACATCCGAAAAATCGCAGATTCTGCAAACGTCGAACAAAACTGTAATTCCATTTCATAAAAAAAAATTGTGTTCATAGCGCGTTAAAACTAATACTATTCAAGAAGAAGTGG